TCCCTCCCCTGGCACCGCCTGGATTCCAGTGCCAGGGTTGGGGTTTTCCCCCACTCATGACCAGGAGGAAGTGGCTGCAAGTGCTGTGGATCACAAACCAGGAAGGGAAAACTAAATGTTAATAATTTCTACCTGAGGATCTCGGTATGGGAAAAAAAAAAAAGGTCAGGTCGTCCAAGGAGACTGAGGAAGACTTGGTCTAAAGATTTTGCTGTAGTTGTACAACTAGACACCACTTATTGCCCTGCTGAGGGCATAAAGAATTCTATGGGACATTCTGCTTTATAGTCTGAGTTAACAGAAAATATGCACACAGAGTATGTACAAAAATATCTTATGAAAAATGCTGCCTACCTGATTCTGTGTGTGTGTGTGTGTGTGTGTGATGGAAGGCTTTACTGACTGAATTCAAGACTATGATTAGCATTAATACACAAGCAGATATATTTAAAAACAGCAAAATCAGTGCACGTAGTTGTTCCAAAAGCAGCTGCTTTTTGCCATGCACACTGAGAGCATTTTTCCTGTGGCAGAAATGCCTGCATACTGCACGACCACAGGCGTATCTGAGCAGGTACCAGGCTTCCCCTGAATGTTGATGGCAAACAAAAAAAATAGATGGAAAAATATGAGCTTAATATCTCTCACTGGTGCCAGCATTTGGGGTTTTGTTGTTGTTTGTGGGTTGTTTTTGGTGGTGTTGTTTCGGGGTTGGGTTTTTTGTTGTTGTTGTTTTGTTTCTGTTTTTGTTTTTTTTTGAGGGAAATTCCTAGGAACAAGACCTGTTCTGTTTGTCACTATGAAGGTGTTGCCAGCCAACCTGCAGCTCCGAAGTCAAATTTTTAAGTCAATTTTAAAGATAGCAATTGCAATGCCACCAGGATAGGCAAACAGGGATGAACTACTCCTTCAAATAAACGAGTTTAGTATCTTTATGAAGGAAGGTGGGGTGTAGAAAAGAAACAAACAAACAAAGCTTGAGATGAAAAGCCTGCCTGATTCTCTGCCATTTATACCAGTCTTACTCCATCCTAACCTCTACCTTCATTGAAGTTTTTCAGGTTTAATTCAGTGGAGGTGAGCATTCAGGTCCCATGTATGTTGGGAAATATCACAGGTGCAGAAGAGGCTGTGGGAATGAAGCGTTAGCACTCTTAAAAGTGATCATTGATTTCAAAAGGCATATACTAAAGGTGAGCTCTAAAGCTGGCTGTTAATGGTGATAAGTAATTAAAATCCAGCTGAAGTCTACACAAATGTTTGTCTCTCCAGATTTCAGGGAGAAGCTTCCTGCACCTTGGTATTCAGCAAGAATAAATGTATCAGTGCAAGGAAGCTCAGGGAGCTTGGCCAATGAACATCACTTGTGAGGTCTGAGCCCTTCCCTGTTTTATGCAAAGCAAACAGCAGACAACAAGTTCAGATTTCAAACAGCAAAGTTGATAAGTAATAACTGAGTTTCTCAGAGGTGTTGCTGGATCACAGCAAGGGTTAAGGAGGCAAACATATCCCAGGCCAGTGCTGGGAAAGACTGTGAGCTTTCACAGTTGTGGCAGAGCCACTAGAAGAGCCCATATAGAAGCAAAGTTGTGCCACGCAGCTATAGGAGAAGCTTGTACACAAGCAAGGAGAAGAAGATTCTTCGGGATCAGTGGTGGATGCACCCACAGCACGGGTTCTTGCTGTATCCAGGAGTATAGGGACCAGATGACCCTAGAGCTCCCAGAGTTTTTAGATTTGAGGCATTAGAGGTCCAACAGGGAGCTCAGAGGCACTGCCAAGAAGGACTCAGCTGTTAGCATACGCTCTCTGGGCAAGGAGGCCCTAGGGGCTGCTCACTTCAGGGGGTGCTGTGGTTGGGGGCCATGGGAAAAAAGAGCAGAGCAGCTCTTTGAGGGCTGGGACAGGGCCCAGCTCCGTGCTCAGAGAATAAAGGTTGTCCTGCATGTTTTGGGACATCAAGACCCAGCACTGACTTTTATAATCCACATCTGAGGGACTGATCTTTCTAAGGCATCCGTGTCTAGTTGGTGTTCTGTTTGGTGGTTCTTATTGTTGTTGTTCAAATGTGCCCGCAGAGCAGGCAGGGATGTCTGTGGGTTGGGCAGTGATGTGTTGGGAAGGGTGCCTGTATGTCGGGCAGGGCTCTGTTGGGCAGAAATGTCCAGATGTATGTCAGACAGGATGTGTTTGTTGGGCTGGGTGTCCGTGTATTGGGCAGGGTGTCCGTGTGTCAGGCAGGGTTCCATTGGGCATGAACATCCACGTGTTGGGCAGAGCGTCTGTATGTCAGACAGGACGTCTGTCTGTTGGGCTGTATGTCTGCATGGCAGGCATTGTGTCTGTATATCAGTCATGCTGATGTGTCAGTGTGTCTGTATGTCAGGCAGTGTGTCTGTGTGTCAGGCAGGAATGTCCATGCGTAGGGCAGCGTGTCCGTGTGTCAGGCAGGGTGTCTGTACATTGGGTAAGGATATGTTGGGCAGCACGTCTATATGTCAGGCGGGAGGGATGCGTGGGGCAGGATGTCCGTATGTCGGGCACGGTGTCCGTGTGTCAGACGCTCTCCAGCAGCTCTGGGCGGGCAGAGCACGCTGTAGAGGTGGGGGCGGTCGGGGGGATCCGTGCTGGGAGCCCCTCGTGGTTTGTGTCCTCCCGGCCCTGGGAGAGGTGGAACTGCAAGCCCGGAGAGCAGGGCGGGTCAGCGGGCACACCCCGCACCCAGCCCCGCTCCCGGCCCCTGCGGCCGCTCTGAGGCTGAGCAGAGCCCCCCGCCCCACAGCTCTGCTTTCTTTCACATCTAATTTGATAGCAGGGTGATTTCGAGCTTCCCACAGTTACAACTTTTCTTGATTTCTCCCCTGCTCCCCCCCCTTTCCCCCCCTCCCCCCCCCCCCCCCCCCGTGCATTTATTACTCGCATTTAATTAATTCCTTCTTTGCGTTTCCTTTCCTGTTAATCTTTGGGTGACTGCTCTGTACATATGGCAATCTGATAATGAGGGAGTTTATCCTTATTCCTTATACTTGATCCTCCCAGGATATCGATCATCTTTCCTTGAGGAGAGGGACAAGGTAAGAAGGGTGATAAAAGATTTGCAGGATCCCACACCATTAGGGGCAGCTTTTATTCCTTGGCACTGTTTAATCAACTGCTATATCAAGTCATGCTGTTTAAGCAACCACATCAAAAGAACGTACCCTCTTTTGTATAAATTATATATTCCTTGTATCTGTCTTCTTGCTTGCACGCAGACGGGAAGATAAAACTTGAGTGTGTTTTTCATGGCACGAAGCAGGCGTTTGGCTGTTAGACGGCTTGTTTCTGCAACTCGACGGGCTGACAAAAAACTCACAGACGAGCAGCTGCCTTCCTCACTCCTTACCCATCGTTAAAAACGCCGACATTTCAAGTTGGGAAAGAGAAAGTGGTGCTTCACTGGAAGGTTACGCAGAAGCATAAGTAACAGAAGAGAAGAGTGGGTGCATGGGAGGGAAAAGTCGATCTGAGAGTTTCCAATCACTTCTTTCAAGCTCTTTCTCTAAAGTTTACCTAAGAAAGATCACTTTGTCCCTTGCAAGTTGGGGTGGTGCTCCATGTTGCTGTTCATGGCGTACAACTTTTTCTTGATTCTTTTTCAACCACTTAAAAACTAATTTTAAAGTCCATTTTCACGTGCTTTAAGTGGATTACGACTCAGACGGGAAAACTCCCATATCACCTCTCGCTCCAAAGAGCTGCATTTTATTTTTCCTTAAATAAAGCTGATTTTTATTTATTATTTTTGCTAAGAGAGTGGACTTCGGCTCACTTCAGCGTGTCATCTCGGGACTTTTGAGAACTCTCAAAAAGCTCCTTCGAGTTTCTGGACCCTGGGACAAATCGCGTGCTCTCCGGAGCAAAAGCAGAGGAGCCCTTAGCAGCGGTGTTTGTCCATACGGGACCCTGCCTTTCCGCCCGACCTGCTCTATCAGCCCCATCTCTGCAGTTCTGCTCGTCTCTCAACACCTTTGTCTGATCAGTCGCTTTTGGAGACCGGGGATAAAGACATCACTTGCCACGCTGCACGAGATAACAATTAATTTCACATTAAACTTATCCCCCCGCCATTCACTTTGCCGGGATCGATCGCTGCTAATTGTGTTTGCGGATGCTTTCAGCGCGTCGCTCTCCTTCAAAACTTAATGACACCCCGCGAGGAGGTGTGAGAGCCGGCAGAGCCGCTCGGAGCGCAGAACAAAGCGCAGCGCTGTGCCATCCCTGACCGCGGCCACTTCCCGACTCGCTGCGTTATTTTCAATGGGGACAGCTCTGATTTTTATTTATTTACTTATTTGAAAATAAACGCTGCTGAGGTGTCCGCGTGATGCAGACTGGCGGCCAGCTGCCTCCTCCTATCGGTTTTTCCTTCCTCCAAAACAGTCATTTATCAGCTAAAACGTGACTGTGGTTCAATGCGCGGCTGCACGAGGGGAGCGGTGTCCCTTGCCATGGGAAGAAACCTGTTACAAAGCCCCCGAGGTGGGCTCACCCTCACACGGCACTGTTTCCCCCAGAGCTCCACCATTTCCCCAATATGTTTCTATTTGCCGGGCTCCCCGCTAATTCGGCGTTTTATGAACTGCCCTCAGAAGCCCGCCTCGCACCCCTCGAACCTGATGTATTTTGCATTTATTATTATTATTATTACGCAGAGGCGTCTGTTCCCCTTACTGACAAATGTACCATTCTGCCAAGAAAGTTTTTATTTTTTTTTTTTAAGAGGAAAAAAAAAAAAAAAAAACCAGCGTGTAATTGATGTTATCCCAAGAAAGCGCAATCCCCGCCCCTTTCAGCTCCGAGCCCTTCAGGTAAAAGGAAAAAAAAAAAAAATCTTTCAAGAATTTGTTGCCTTTTTGAGGGTTAAAACATCAGAAGACAAGCTTGTCTCGCCTTGGCCAATCAGCTCTCGGCCCTGGCAGCTATAATATAGAACTAAAGGCAGACTCCTCTCACAAGCGTCTTGCTTTGCTACCATTAAAATCAGACCCTTTTTGTCTCTCGATTGCTGTCTCCCGACCAAACTCCGATGTGTTCCGTTATCAGCGACCTAAAGGCTGCCATTCCAGCACCTGTCTTGCTAGGGATCGGTGGATAGTATACGATCAGAAAGCAGACAAGGACATAGGAGGAGAGAGAGCTCTAGAGAGACAGCCAGGGATAGGCACAGAGAGCTGTGAAGTAATTGGATTCAATGGACGAAATGCTGCTGTTGACAAGAATTCTCTTGGTGGGCTTCATCTGCGCTCTTTTAGTCTCCTCTGGGCTGACTTGTGGACCAGGCAGGGGCATTGGAAAAAGGAGGCACCCCAAAAAGCTGACCCCGTTAGCCTATAAGCAGTTTATTCCCAATGTGGCAGAGAAGACCCTAGGGGCCAGTGGAAGATATGAAGGGAAGATCACAAGAAACTCCGAGAGATTTAAAGAACTAACCCCAAATTACAACCCTGACATTATTTTTAAGGATGAAGAGAACACGGGAGCTGACAGACTGATGACTCAGGTAGAGCCACAGAGATACCTGTATTTGTGTTTGTTAACCTCTCTGAGCACCCCTAAAGGACGCATCTGTCTTAGCATTTTTTTGAGAGCCCCCCTTTCCCTCCCCCCTTCCCCCCGCCCTCCAAACTCGGCTACTTTCCCCGTAATGTCAATGCCATCTCTCAGACAAGTTAGCGGGGCCGGAGCCGGCGGTGGGGGTTCGGTGCGATACCCGCCGGCATCGCCATGGCGTTCCCTGGAACTTGGGCAGGGACAGCCGCTCGCGTTCGTCCCCACGGATGCACTTTGCTCAAACGAACCGCATCCAGCGCGGAGTACCGCGGGCGCGCAGTGACCGCTGGGCCGCACGCTCCCGTCGCCGGAGGAGCCCCCGCTCGGGTTTATCGCTCGGGTTTATCTCTCTTTTCTTTCTTTTTCTTTTTCTTTCTTTCATTTTCTTTTTTCTTTTCTCTTTTTTTTTCCCCGCTGTTTCATTTCATTTTGCCCTTCATTATTTTATTTATTTTTTCCCTCGCGAGCGTATTCTATATTTAGTAGGCATGCAGTCGTGCACTCACAAAAGGCAGCTGAAGCCGGATCGACCATGGCTCTCCTGATTCCGTATGATAGAGCTCGTATTGCAATACCATCATTTGCGATTGTGCCCATCAGAGCGTAAATATATTGATATTTCTTTAAGGATGCTCGCCGTCAGCGCTCTGGTACTTCCATAGGGGAGGGACTTGCAACTTATCGGCATTGCATCACCTTCGGGTTTAAAAAATCTGATGGCACAAGGTTTACAACCGGGTAAATATTGGATCTCGGGCGGAATCGGATTGCGGAACCATTTTATGCAAAAAGAGAGAGAGAGAGAAAGAGAGAGAGAGAGAGAGAACCTCTCCGAGAGTCACCTCGTAATTATTATTCATGCTCACCAGAGAGCTCGGTGAAGTCAATTGCTCTGCCAATCCCGGAGTTTCTCAAACTACATGCAATCTAGGCACTGGAAATGGGTTTCCTCCAAATATAGGTCAACGGCGCTTTTTTTAATATTAATACATTTAAGCCCCACCTTCAGCGCTAGAACAGGACTCTCGGGGAAGGACGAGGCGGGGAGTGGACGCGGAGGGGGTGCGGGGAAATGCGGGGGGGGAGGGAGGGGAATTTCCCAAACTCTCCCCGCTCCTCGGCCTGATTTTCCGCACGTTTGCCGGCTCTCTCGGGGCGCGGGGCCACCATCTCCTCCCGACCACCTTAAATCTCCGCGTACCTCGGAGCGCGGCGACGCGCCTCTGCCGGGGCGGAGCGCGGAGCTCCGTGTGCGGTGCGCGGAGCTCGGAGCGCGGAGCTTCAGCCCCCGCGCCCCGCTGAGCGCTCCTCCGCCCTCTCTGCCTCCGCATCTCGCATTTTCAGCTCCACTTAACTCCTCTCTCGCCCATCGATCGCGCCGGCTCGGGTTTCACCCTTTCCTACGCGAACGGAGAGGAGGAGGAGGAGACGGCGGCGGCTCCGCGGGAGATGGGCTCCCGGCGGGGCACAGCGCGGCGGTGCGGGCGCGGAGGAGCGGTGCGGGCCGGGGGCGGTGCGCGGATGCCCTCCCGGGGCACGGCTCCAGCCGCATTAGCCGGCAGCGGGTGAACTCCTGACCTTCTGTCAACTTCCCTCAGACGAACGGAACGAAAACAAATAGTTGTGTTGTTTTTTTTTTTCTTCTTTCTTTCTTTCTTTCTTTCTTTTTCTTTCGGCTTGCCGTGCTTTAGGCACAAAGAGGGAAAAGGGCTGGGTTGGGGCAGAGGGGACCAGAGGAGAGGGGTCGGATTCGGGGGTTGCCGTCCCGCAGCCCCCCGCCCTTCGCCTCGAGCCCTTCAGGCATGGAAAGATCTTCCCCCGGAGAGAATTGTTAGACTCGGGGAATAGCCGCCGAATGCATTAGCCGAGGGTTAATATTAACTTCGGAGGGGGGTGGAAAAAAAAAAAAAAGGCAAACATGGCTCGGTAAGTCGGGTTCTCAACTTCGCAGGTGACAACAGCGGTTTGCTGAGGGCTGCCCCCACCCTCCCCCCCATCCCGGCCATTGGCTGGATTCGGCTGGGAGATAAGGAGGCCAGGTCAGCACGATAAAGCTGGAATTTGTTCGAAATAAAATAGCCATCTCGCCTAACGCGGGCACACGGCGGTGCGCGATGGGAGGAACTCAGAGATCAGCTTGGCATTTAGGAAGCCCACCAGGTTGTTTACACTGACAGGTACCTGTTAAGTGTTTCCTTCAAGCAATTCATTTGTGAAGAGATTAGGAGCTGGCAGGAGAGGGCTTGTTGAACAACTTCGCCTCCACACAAAGCGTCGGCGGAGGCAGCCCTGCTGAGCTTCACGGTGGCTGAACAGAATTGGGCTTGATTTGTGGCACACGACCCGATGAATTAATAAATAGTCTGGGCTTCACGGCTTTTGACTCCGACAATCCAGCTCAGGCAGAGTGAAAGGGAGGAAAGTCCTTTAGGAGGCCGTTCCCCTGCTTGATCCCCGACTCCTTGCGTTCTCCGGGCCAGAGGCCGGGAGGGAGACTAGCCACTAGAGCTGCTAGCGTGATATGCTACTATCATGATATCCTTGTATTGTGAAATCCTTCTATCGTGATATCCTGGCGCTGCGATATCCTGCTACCGTGATATTCTGCTATCCTGATCTTGTAAATACCCTAACATCCAGCCATCCCCATACCTTGCTTGTCCCCGTACAGCTCTGCAGGAGCACATCCATTCTCCCAGGTGTGCAAAGGGGGAAAGTAAAAAAATCCCCTGTGCTTCCTTGTGCTCTGCTTCAGGGAATGGGCTGAAAGCAGCCTCCCCGGCTCTTTGCACCGAGCGCTAGGCCACAGAGTCCAAAGTGAGCTCGTGATTGCTTTTGATATCTCTTGGGGCCATGTGTGCTGCTGGAATTGCTTTTTATTGTGGTGATAGACACATGGGAAGTTTCTTGTTGAACAATCTTGTCACGTCCCTCGGAGTGGGGTCGGAAAAGGGGTGGCCACACTTGGCCCTGCTGGGAGCTGGGAAGGGGCCTTTGTGGGACAGGGCGTCCCTCTTGGGGCTGTATGTGAGGGAGAGCTTCTGCTTGCCTCTTGCTGTGGCTTTACCCCATGTGCATCCGTGCTGTTTGTAGTCATGAGTAATTTCCCTCTGAAAAAGGGGGAAAAGTTGGCCTTGTGTGGTTTTACTAGCTGTGTGCCTTTCAGTCAAATGCTTTCAGTGCTGATTTCTTATGGCTGGGGGTGGCTGCAAGTCCCTCTCCCTGTAGAACTGGTCATTCCCCTTCATTGGCCCACACACCAATCCTCTACACTTTCAGGGCTCCTTATAGAGCTCACTCCTGAATCTGCCCACAGTGCAGATCTAGGTGAGCCCAGCAGCTCAGGGGTGTGAAGGAAAACACTGTAACCCTTCCCTATGAGGCCTGAAGCCTCTCATTGCACACAAAGGCCCCTCAGCATCCCTGTAACTCCTCTGCTTGGTCCTGTCCTGCTTTCCATTTTCCCTCTCTGAGCCGTGTTACCCTACATCCATGCCGAAAGCAGAGGGAGCGCTCCCAGCCCAGGTTGCTTTGAAGACTCTAATGAGTGATAGGCGAGGAAAAAAAACACCACCAACAAAACAACACAAAAACCAGTAGCACGTAAAGGCTGTTAAAGTGTATTGAGACCTCTTTCAACAGAGAATTAAGCTGAAAAGACCGGGGGAGACATTCCGGGGAGAATCTGTGACTCCCAGATACATGGCGAGTGTTTGTTCTCGGCAGAACTTTGTTCTGGGAAGGGGACAGGGCACTTAGAGCAGGAATGCGGGGCTTTGAGTCCGCACACTCCGGCTGTAGGGCAGTTGCTAGGGAGAGGGAGGCGTTGCGGTGTTTCACCCCTGCTTGCTCCCTTTGGCTGGGGAGGAAGGGAAGGATGCGACCCTAGGGGTGCGGGGAGGCCGGTGGGGCATCTGATGTCGGTGACAGCAGCGTCTCCTCAACGCGCCTTTCCCTGTGTCCCCATGTCCCCGCAGCGCTGCAAGGACAAGCTGAACGCCCTGGCGATTTCGGTGATGAACCAGTGGCCCGGGGTGAAGCTGCGGGTGACCGAGGGCTGGGACGAGGACGGCCACCACTCCGAGGAATCGCTGCACTACGAGGGTCGCGCCGTGGACATCACCACGTCGGATCGGGACCGCAGCAAGTACGGGATGCTGGCCCGCCTCGCCGTCGAGGCTGGCTTCGACTGGGTCTACTACGAGTCCAAGGCGCACATCCACTGCTCCGTCAAAGCAGGTGAGGCGGGGGGGGACGCGCTGGGGACACCCCCGGGCTCTGTGCCCCAATTCCCCGTCCCATCAGCCCTGCCCGCCCCGTCGGGGTCCGGAGCGGAGCGCCCGCCTCTGAGGCACACGTGGGAGGGGGGAGGCAAAGAAGGAGAGGAGGGGATGCGAGAAAGAAAAAAGGAAAAAAAAAAAAAAAAGAAAGGAAGGAAGGAAGGAAGAAACCCAGCCAGCTGCAGCACCTCCTGCCAGCGTTAATTTCGCTGTCATTTTGCCCAGCCTTCCCACCACCGCCACACGCCCTTCTCCTCCTTCCGTGGGATCCGAGCTCTCCCTATCCGAAGCGATCGCTCATCTCGGGGCAGGAGCGGGCCGGGAAACCGAACACCGAGCGCGGCCCCTCCGCCGGGAGGCGCCGGGAAATTCCCAGCGCCCGATACGAGCGCATCTCTTTCTGCCTCCCCTCCCTGTGCTTACAACGCCACATGCTGTCTCAACCCGGGAACAGCTCATGAGAAACCCCGAGCTGCGTTTGGCGCTTCTGAAAGAAAATTATTGTCGTTTTGATTATTTTAAGTGAACACCTTAGCGTGTACCAGCCTCCTGGTGCTGTACAGCGGTGTTGTGAGAGCATCTTCCAGCCTGGAGAGTGCTGCAAGTGTCAAGAAGCACTTGGCTGCAAAAGAAAACAATGGGCTTTCTCTAAATATATCAATTTACTTCGAAACAGCACGTAAACAGCATTGGCTTCACCACGCCAGTCTGTAACTGGGTCCTGATCCACACTAGGACTTCTCCAGCCCACGAGGGCTTTGTCCTGGGAGTCCAACACTGCTTTTGTTCATGTCCCCCAGCTCTTCGGAGGCTCTGCAAAGCTGCCGGTCTCACAGAGATACGAAACGTCCCTTTCAATAGCGAGGATGGGCTTTATGGCTCAAGGTGTCTGATTGTGGCTCACAATAACCTTATTCCGAGCGCCCACCCTAATCCACCGCCATGTATATTTCATAGGACAGGAGCGACCCCGAGCTGCTCATTGAGATTCCGCACACGCGGACTTTGGGGTGACATTTAGTGCGTGTCAGGCGGGGTCGTGTGACTGTACCACGCGGGTTGCAAGGGAACGGGCCTGAATTCCACCCACTAGGTCTGGTTTCAAACTGTGGAAACCTCGTTTCATGACGGAGCATCTTATGAGAAGATTAAACCCCATAATGGCAGGCAGGAAGATTCTTTATCTAGATCTCTGTTTGCAAAAAGTATGATCCCGGAGACTGGAATGCAAAGAAGAGTTCCCCCAAGGCCTGAATTATTGTCACTGGGACAGGGGAGGGAGAGGCAGGGGTGGTAAAAGGGACATTGATAATGCGCTGCGGCAAGTATTTAGAGCGAGCTTCTACATTTAAAATTCAAATACACATCTTGAGTGCCTTGGAAAAGTGGCTCTGCTGTGCAAATAGTGCTTGGAAGGTCCTGGGTTTTTTGGAGAGTATGTGTGTGAATTGGCACATAGGGTTTCTGCACCTGAACAAATAGGGAGGGGGAGAAAAGGGGGGGAAGAAGCTGGGAAAAAAATGGAAGTGTCCTCTCTTCCAAGAGTGTCTGCATTTATTACATGAATCAGAATGACAATGCTGATCCTTTATTGGATTTTAATTAGAGAACCCAAACAAGCGCTGCTCAAAGAAGCAGATTTTCACACCTCAGCCAATTCACTGGCATGTTTGTAGAGCTGCTACAGTACTAGATCTATTCATCAAGTCCCTGAATATGCAAACAAAGCTCAAGCCAGACCTTTGGTGCAGGCTTGTACAAAGGTGTAGTTTGCTAGCAGAGGGCTCCACATAAAGCACATAGCTTGTTTGTTGCCATGTCCTCTCTGAAGAGGCCTTGGAGATCTCGCTGCTTCATTTCTGAAAGAGAAGTGATAAAGTCGTTAGCAAATCAATAATGTTCTTATTTTCACCCTTCCTGTCCTTCCTGAGAAAGTCATTAGGAGATGCTCAGAGTGTTTATGTAAATCATGATAGCTTCAGCACCGGCCACAGAAGCAAAACATAAAATCTGACTACATTTAGGAGATAAATTACCAGGACTCTAAATTGGCATAGTGACTAACTGGGAGAAACAAAGGGAATGCAAGGCAAGGATCAGAAATGCCATGACTGCAGCAAAGGCACTTGATAGCCCATGGTATCATGGGCTACAACCCAGTGCAGAGAAGTGAGACCCTGCAGTTCCTAGGCTAGGCCTGGAAATCAGCAGTACTCCTTTCGAACTGCACTGCACAAGGCTAAACTTTTCAGAAGGAATTTGCAGAAGAGACTTGAAATCCAGCAAGTCCTCTCACTGTTTCTGATTTGTTAAAGCCTACAATTATTTTTCCTGGTAGCTCTCAAAAAGCAGCAGCGGTAGCTACAGCATTCAGTGTCAAAACCCTGAACAATTCCAGCAACAGCTGAGCACTTGTTCAAGAAACATGGAGGTGTGATGCCTGGGGGCATGATTTAGTGGGCAATAATGGTGGTAGGTGGGAGTTTGAACTGGATGATCTTAGAGGTTTTTTCCAGCCTTAATGGTTCTATGATTCATGTGAAGGAGGTATCTGGGTTGGGTGCAGGCATAGGGATGCCCTGGGACCACTAACTCAGGACAGAACCCTGCTTTTGGTGGAGTGAAGTAGTGAGAGAGGGGTTTTTACATGCAGTTGATTGAAGTCTTGGGGACTGTATGGCAGTGGTGTTACAGGGAATGGGGTGCAAACCCCAGAAATGAAAAGGCAGTGAAGTCTGTGGGTGGAAGTCTTGACAAACTGGGCTTCTGTTCTTTCCACGAGAAAGCTATCCTGCCTTGTGGCATTTGCTGCCTGAGAGATGGGCTTTTTCAGTACAAAGTGCCATAAGCAGCAAACAGGGTCCTAGAGAAAAAGAAGACACTCTGCTTGTAGACCTAGCTCTACCTGCTGGCATCTGTGAGGTGCAAGGCAAATGGAACCAAGTGAGAAGTACTTCCAGAAAAAAAGAAAAAACAACCCTTATTCTGGAACAGCTATTTCAGCAGAAAAGTTTTGACTATCTTGCTCGAGGAGGTGAATGCAACTGAAGGGCTTGTAACTCAGCAGGAGGCCAAGCATGGTGGCATGGTGCTGGAAGGGTGTCTTGTAGCCAGCTGCAATGGGGACATGGTGGTTACCAGGACTGGTGGTGCTGGAGAAGACTGGAGAAGAGCAGGCTCAGGGGAGACCTAATCACTCCCTACAACTCTGTTAGAAGAGGTTTTGACAAGGTGAAGGCAGCCTCTTGTCCCAGATAGCAGCAGTATGATGAGAGGGAATGACCTCAAATGAGCCAAGTTCAAGTTGGATATTAGGAAAAACTTCCTCTTGGAAGGAGTTGTCTGGCACTGGCATGGGCTGCCCAGGAAGGTGGTGGTGGACTCACCGTCCCTGGAGGTGTTATGAAACGTGTAGATGTGGCACTGAGAGACATGGTTTAGTGAGCAATATTGGTGGTAAGCGGATGGTTGGACTTGATGTCCTTAGAGATCTTTTCCAAGCTTAATGGTTCATGGCTCTATGCTTGGGGCACGTTGGGAAATGTGTCCCTCCACATTGGTCATCCCTCTAACACCTTGTGTCTCTCTCCTCGTGCAGAAAACTCAGTGGCAGCCAAATCAGGAGGCTGCTTCCCCGGTTCAGCCACGGTGCACCTGGAGCACGGCGGCACCAAGCTGGTGAAGGACCTGAGCCCTGGAGACCGCGTGCTGGCTGCTGACGCAGATGGCCGGCTGCTCTACAGCGACTTCCTCACCTTCCTCGACCGAGAGGACGGCTCCCGAAAGCTCTTCTACGTCATCGAGACGCGGCAGCCCCGAGCCCGGCTGCTGCTGACTGCAGCCCACCTGCTCTTTGTGGCCCCCCAGCACAACCAGTCGGAGGCCACAGGGCTCACCGGCGGCCAGGCGCTCTTCGCCAGCAACGTGAAGCCTGGCCAACGTGTCTACGTGCTGGGCGAGGGCGGGCGGCAGCTGCAGCCGGCGTCCGTCCACAGCGTCTCGTTGCAGGAGGAGGCATCGGGAGCCTATGCCCCGCTCACCGCCCAAGGCACCATCCTCATCAACCGGGTGCTGGCCTCCTGCTACGCCGTCATTGAGGAGCACAGTTGGGCCCATTGGGCCTTCGCACCATTCCGCTTGGCTCAGGGGCTGCTGGCCGCCCTCTGCCCAGATGGGGCCATCCCTACGGCCGCCACCACCACCACCGGCATCCATTGGTACTCACGGCTCCTCTACCGCATCGGCAGCTGGGTGCTGGATGGTGACGCGCTGCACCCGCTGGGCATGGTGGCATCGGCCAGCTGAGAGCGGCTGGAGAGGGACAGAAATGGAGTGTGGGAGAGAGAGAGAGAGAGAGAGAGAGAGAGAGAGAAAAGGGGGGGTGGAAGGAGAAAAAAAAGAAAAAGAAAAAAAAAAAGAAATAACCCAAATGGAAAGAAAACAGAAAAAAAAAAAAAAAAGCAACAACAGAAAAAAAGGAAAAATAATACATATTTTTAAAAAAGAGCACGGATTAAGACTTAAAAATAATAATAATAAAATAATAATAATTAAGTAGGACAGTCCAAAGTAGACTTTAAGGGAAACAAAGACCCCGGGAAGTTCTGTTCCGTTTAGTTTATAAATATATATATATTTTTATTTGTTCTTTTGTTGTTTTGTTCATTGTTTTGTTGTTGTTGTTGGTTTTATTTTTTCCTCCTCTCCTGGATATTTATTTCTTTGGTATGTCGAATAGATGTTTTAAATGATATGAACCGGACCTTCAAGAGCCTTAAATAGTTTCTTTGATAATTTATTATCATGCGAACTGTTCTCACAGGGGAAAAAATTATTTTGTGAGGCCGAGCAAAACTGCGCAGAGTCTATTTTTCTACATGTCACGTGTGTCCTGACTTTCAGAAAGCAAAATTCCGTACTTTCCCATCTCTCCATTACGTTGCTCCTTCATTTCAGCGAGTCTAGAGAAACAAGCAAGCGAACAAATATACAGAAAAGAAAGACAAACTTCATGGGGGTCCGTAAATTATATTTTTATACACAGAATTGTAAATTAGATTTTTTTGAGAGATCAATACTTAACTGAATCACATTTCGTTTTTTGAAATAGTGTAAAATATGAGAATATATTATTTTAATTTAAATAGTTTCAAAATGTAACGTCATTTCCTGTATTGTTTTCCATGTCTCTTAAATATTTTTGCTCTGTAAAAAAAACAAACAAACAAAAAAAAAAACAACAAAAACAAACCACCATTTGGCCACGTTCATGGAAGTCAAGACTGTTACACAAACTCTTTATTTGAAAAAAAAAAAAAAAAAAAAAAAAAAAAGCCGTAAGAAACTTTGTTATTTTTAACTTCAAGAAAAAATTTATTAGAAAATAATATTTTTTAAGAAGCGCACATGGCGGCAATTCTGTGACGATGGAGACGGTAGTTTGTACAGAGGGGAGAAAAGGATGTTTTGCATTAATAAATTGAGAAATAACTGCTGTAAATTTACTAAAATGTATTTTTGAATATTTTGTAATAGTTTTAATAGTTTTATAGAAATAAAATGTGCCATGCACAGTCTGGTTAGTATATAATAACTAAGAGTTCCTGGTGCATCCCATTTTTTGCTTTTTTTTTTTCCTTTTTCTTTTCTTTTTTTTTTTTCCTTATTTTTTTCCTTATTTGTTTGGGAAACGTAACGCCCATAGAAGTGCCCGTTATTTTATTTATTTATGTTGCTTATCACTTTTAATTTTGGTACGTTGGATAAGGAAACAGATACATCACACCTGCTCCAAACCTGTTGTACTAACAGTAGAACCTCACTCATTCGCACTAACAACCGCAGACCTTTCCCTTTGCCCACACCAGTGCCCCATCTCTCCATTCTTGCTCAGGCAAAGTTTCTCCTCTTCCAGTTTCAGCACTGGGTTTGTGCCCACCTCTTGGTCAGACCTGGGCATTGCAGGCATTTCTTGGTGGATTTCCAAAGGGACCAAGCCCGGTTTCCCCTTGGAAGCAAATTGTCCTGAAGACAGGAAGCTGCATTCCCATTGCAGTGAGTCTGTGGGGTTGATTAGCTTTAATTTGCATCCCCTGGAGATGCAAACCTGGGGAACTGGCACTGACTTTGGTGAATTAATAGGAATTCACATGGCTGATGCTGAAAGATGGAACTGCTGACTGGATCCCAGTGGCTACCTTGCCTGAGTGAAGATGCAGGGCCTGGGGCTACCAAGAGAAGAGCAAAACAACCTTTGCCAAAAAGAGGGGTAAAAATTGTTTGTTTATTCTGAGAGCCAAACCTGAGTGGTAACTCATCCAAGCCCACCCTCAGCCACTGACTGGTGGAGATTTGGGGGAGAAGAGCTCAGCTCCAAGGCCCTAGAGCTCGGTTTGGGGGTGCTGATCAGTGAGGTTCTGCTGCAACCCCCTTTCTCCTCCACAGAGAATTTTCAGGATTCCTTGACAAATTTTGCAAAACATTGTGTTGTGTGCATCTGAGACAGGACCGTGCTGGAAGGAAACTTTCCTTGAATGTCTTCTCACCTTTTCTTCGGTTTCCATTACTTACTGGTTTAGGATGTTCACTCTTCGGGCAGCACTGTGCTCCAGAGACGAGGCCACATCCTCCACTGGGATGGAATGCTGCTCCAGAGGTCCTCCTGGGATGCATGGAGGAGCAGATCTTGCTTTTCTGTGCTGAGAATCTGGGAATTCCCAAAGAGGTGATGAGAGAGCCTGGGCACACATGCACCTGCGTCAGCCTCTAAGGGATGGATCACAAGAGATGGCTTCTCCTTCCTGACAGCCTCCAGCTGGAAGCCACTGTCTCCCTCTGAAGATAGGGATGATGCTTGGTGGTGGCCAAGATGGCTAGAGCTTAGCATGACCACTCAGTGTTGCAGTATCTGCATGGACTGTCAGGATGAGAGCAGAGCTTTGGCCTTGGGCAGGAGATGGAGGCTCTGCTCTGGGATGGGCCAGCCAGCTCCCACTGAAGGTCCAGCTTTAGAAGGAACTGGTGTTGGTCCTTGAATGGGCACGCTTGCAAGACAGTGGCGACTGCAGTTCTTCACACCATCTGACTGCAGCTATGTCAGCTACTCTGGCTCAGTAAACGCCATCCTCCATAGTGCTCCAACCATCCCTAAGGTCACCACTGCAGTGGTGGTAGTATTTTCACCTCTCACCAGAGTATGGCATCACTGGGACTGTGCATTGAAGGCATCAAGGCTGGGACTCTGCTGCCTGTGGGTCTTCTGGGAGCTGCTGGTGCACTGGGAGCTGCAAGCATGGATGTAAGATACGGTCATGGAACAAAGGAGCCTCTACTTTGTAAAGAATTTGTCCTTCCATGGAGGTGTTGGGGCATCTCAGCTCTCTGTTCCCTATCTCTCAACAGTGGCTTGCACAACAGAAGGACTTTGCTCTGGGAAAATGGCACTGTGGAAGAGCAGATCTTCATGAGATTGTGCAGTGCAATGAGGTTGTGCAATAGGATAGAGCTTGAGCCACTGATGTGAGGCCTTCAAACTAACTGAGATGACAAAGACCTTCCAGTGCAGAGCCCGTGCTTTGGTCAGAGTAAGGCACACATCCCAGTACAGATCATATCAGACCATCTCTAATCTCCACCAGAATGCTGGAGTTTTGCTGTGTGGAAGAAGCTCAGAGGCCTCTGTACGCTAGGATCAAGCTGCCGTGCCCAGTAACCCTGTGCCGTGTCCCCTCGCGCATAATTCTGATGGCTGACCTCCCTCTCACCATGTATTTATGACATCTCCTGTAGCCTTCAACGCACTGTGCCCAGACCACCACTCTACACCTTAGAAGCAATTCGTTAGGACAGACCAATGCAACCAGCTCTAGTAGTAAGGATGTGCTGTTGTCACCTCATTTCGCCTAGGAGATGTCACCGTCCATTTTCAGGGTCTGAGTATGGCAATAGTTTGTATAAAATGTACACATAGTGGTGGGTACAGAATAGTTTATGACTAAATACATATCTATTACTGTTAAAATAATGTATAAGAATGTACTTGAAGCTATTATTCTTGTGCTCTGTTGTCTGAATAATTAAAGAAATTACAGAGACTTGCTGAAATGCCTGCTGTGTGACACTCAGCTTGCCAGCTCTTGCCCCCAGTGATACTGAGATGGGACACGGAGACAGGGTTTGGCATGGGAAGAATTCTGCCTGGGCCAGCCTGATGTTTGCCTGCCAAATTCCAGCTGGGTGTGCAAAGAAAACTCATTTGGCAGAGTTCTGGGAGGGAAGAAGGGCTGCACTGAGTGTTATCCCACAAGGCTGTGTGAGCTTGCCCCGAAATCAGGGTGAGAAGTGGCCCTAATGAGACAGGGGCTATTTTGTGTTGGTTTCCAGTGAATGGGGCTGGTCCCTCACAGAGCACCCTGTGCCAGGTACAGCAGCTGAAGGGCAAAGGGGATGTGCCAGAAAGGGAGGATCACATCCACATGGCAATTAAAATTCAAGCCACTCACTGTAGCAAACCATCATTTCCATGTCTGGTAGCTCTGTGTTGTCATGTGAAGGAGCTTGCCTAGGTCTATCTTTTTATGTATATGCACACAAATAGCTATATATAACATTATTACCCACACATCAAGAGCTAAACACATCCTACTGGGCTATAAATGTATTTACATTGGCCCTCCTGAGCATTTCACGTGGAGCAGAGCAGGACGGGTGATGTAAATGAGCTGAGTTGGGTGATAATTGGGCGGCAGCTTTGCAGCTCCAGCACGACTTATATTTCAATTACAGGGGGAAGGAAATCAGAATGAGCATCTGATTTTACTCATTACTGCGAGCCATTAGGGACCACTGCATTTCCCAAGCTTTTGAAATTCTCTCTTCAGCAATTTCTGTTTTAAAACTAGTGCAAACTTCACCAAAAAAAAAAGTCAATTTTCCATATACAGAACACTTCAGAGCTTTCAATGGAGCAGTGTTAATGCGATCCTTGGCCTAGGAAGCTAAAAAGGAAAGGAAAAATCATTTTTTAAAAGTGCATCTTTACAGAAGATGGGATTTTCTCCTATTTTGGTAGGAGCAGGATGAGACCTGCAGGCACTGTTTGAGCCAAGACTGTTAAATGTCATTTTCAATACTTTGCATTTGGGGTGTTGAGCCACACAGACTTAAATAATTCTAATTTTCAGGACCGAATGATGAAAAAAAACAGAGAGCAAAGGCAGGAAATACGGGTTTTATAATCCTGCAATCCTGCAGCAGAACCCAGTGTAGCATTCAGAGCAGGTCTGAGAGCATGGAGAGCTGTGCTCTCACCCTAGAGCCCAGTGCAGGACGTGTATTTCTTTCTGCCCCTTTTTTTT